ATTGTAATAAATATTTTTTTGAGTGTAACCACAACAATGTATTGTAATGTGTTTTTTTGTGATGGAAGATTGGACCATCGAGGTCTAAATCACAGCAGGTGAAATAATGAAATGTCAAATGTCAAAATGTCTCTCTCTCTCCCCCCCTGTAATATTTTTAACAGGAGCATGTAAATACAATTGAAAATCATCTGCGCAGAGCATAGATTTAGTAAAAACCAATGAATCACCAATTTTAATGATGTATAGAGAAAATAACATTGCAGACAAGGTAGAGCCCTAGGGTACACCAATGGGATTACACTTCCATTCTGACAATGAACCTTTACTAGTTCTAACTCTTTGTTGTCTATCTGATAAATATGATTCGAACCAACTAACAACGCTATCACTAAAAGAAAAAGATCTCATAATTGCCAGTAACATTTTATGATGGACACTATCAAAAGCACGAGAAAAATCTAACAAAACCATAATAGTATCTTCACGACTGTCCATTGCTCTTTTTACATCATCAGTTATTGACACCAATGCAGTCTGGGTGTTATAGTTAAAACTATAGCCTGCTTGGTATTTATACAACTTATTACTATCACAAATATAACTAGAGATTTGCTGAAACACAAGTTTATCAAATATTTTACCTAATACACTTGATCCAGGGACAAGGATTCTTATTTGTATATATTCGTCTTTCAGGGATAAATTTATTATACAACAATCGCTTCTTATTGTCTACCTACCCTGTGAAAGGAATGTGTATGCAAACAACACTGAGGAGTATGCGATTGATATACCAATCTTTCAAACAATGATACAATTGGCCGCGATGATTTCTTATATCTTTTGAAAGTAATGGATATTTACGACAGGGTGTTGCCGTATGAGATAAATAATTATACTCGACAGTGGTGTCTTTGGTAATGGATTAAGTTAGTGAACCCTTATTTCTTCATGTTGTTACAGGTTTAGTTAACTGATAAATAAAACAGGGATGGAAATATATTTGAAAATTTCTAGGTTCTGGATGCTAAGGAATTACAAGTATGCGGATAATCAAGAGTTACCTGCACTATTATGTGAATGGAAGCTATCGAATGTTGTTTTGAGTTATTTGCTTTATTTATTTATTTAATAGCAGAGTATCCGTCCTTTGTACGCGGTTGGCATATAGGTGTAAAATGCGTATTGCAGTTATACTCAAGCTTTGCGTTTTCAATGCGAGAGGACACAGTTTGATAGAATTTGGTTCTTTAAATTCACGGTATGCTATAGTATAAACTTATTAAATGCTATGTTGCTTCATAAACTATTAAAGCTCGAGTGGAACTTATAAATCTGAGTATAAAACGCGTTCTGAACTAAATCATCATTTTACTCTCTGTAGCATTCAATAAAATAAAAACTGCACATAACTTTATAACCATTTGACCTTTTTTTAAACATATCAGACATCTCTAGCTTGGAAAGAATATTTTTTAAACCGAATACGAGTTTTTTTAAATATATTTTTAATTATTATTATTTTTTATAGAAGGAATTGTAGTTAGTTTATTTTAAAATTATTAACAAGGTTTAGACTACTAGTAGGTACGTGTCGATTGTGACGGTATCGTGATCAGTACTGACATCGACTTGGAAAGGTGATACTTCATTCTACATTCATATTTAGTTAAAATACGAACCTAAGTGGGACAATATGAAAGATAAATAATATGTGGTTGAGAACAAAGCATCTTCTTTGCAATCAATTGTTTGTATAGGTTTTGCGCACAGTAATGTTACTTGACTTTTCAATAATTAAAACTAAATAGTTCTACAAAACCCCATATATTTTTTTAAATATAGAAAAATTATAATGAAAATAAAAGGAAGATTGTTTTCAAGAAAAATAAAGCAATTATATTTTGAAATTATATTTAAATTTACTGTATATGAGAATGCATATTTAATTGAACGTTGACCGTGGAAGAAATAAAATCCCGTTCATCTAAAGTTATTTTTATTCCTCCAACCAATGACAGCTCAAAAAAGGCAAAAACCTGCACCAAATATTTCCAAACTTTGACGAAAGATATTGCGTGTGAACTTGTCACTATTTCTCACTTTTTAGTTATTATATAACTTTATTTTAACTTTATTGTATTATGTATTTATCATAGGCTAACAGCTGAAACCATATATCTAATTTTTTTCTTTTATTAAATTTTAGATTTTGTTGTGTTTTGATTTGTTGCATTTTGCATTTAGGATCATGACTTGACTGCTATACAGTGGATAGCCTATACTTTAATGTTCTCTGAAGTGTATTCCAACTTAGGTTGGAGTTTGTGTATTGTTAGTTGTACAATATGTTAAGTTACAATGTTACAATGTGTTAAGTTTTTTCTCATTTGTGTACGAGATGAGTTTTTAGATGCTGAAACGTTGGGTAGAGTGTTTTACATGTGTGATGAAAAGTGTCTGTAATAACCCTTTAAGCAACATTAGCCTACCATCATTGTTGTATTTACATAAACATGGCATAATATTTAAAACTAATGTGATAGCTATGCCCAATCACTTTACTATTGCAATATGAGTTGGTAAAAGTATAATCCAATATACGTCCGAACAAGCTAATTAAACACGAAGAAAAGAGTGGAGATCTAGCTTTTCATATATAAGTTATATTGATCTTTATTTTCCTAAGACAAACCATATAACCCATTAAATATAAATGAATACTATTTTCTGTAAAAGACGAAAATTGTAAAAAGGACTTAACAAAATTACATACAAATACTTCGACTATAGTGCAAAGGAGTTGGTATACATTTACATTTGTTTATTGTTTTTTTTTCAACTAATTTTAGGAGAAAAATAAATAACACATGTGTGACCAACTTTGCAATACTGGTTTGATTAACAAACGTTAAAATTGCACTCCCAAACAATTTACCCGTATTTATTTGTTTTTTAGAATTTTCAATTGTTTCTACGTTGATAAAACTATAGGTATGACATTAATAAATCCATGTATCATAACTAGAGATAATTTTATAATGTTACCTAAAATAACCAAACAAAATTATATTTTATATTACATTGTCCATAAGTGAGATTTAATTTTGTAACGTTTTCGTTATTACGTAAACATAACTAAAATATTGGTGATATCTTTGTCTGAAATTAATTCAATTAAATGTTTTGTCAAAACAGCTAACTATTTTTTCAAGAAATCTAACAAAAATTAATCATTCAATAACACCTTTTTGAAGACAAGCAAAACTCAACAGGGACAATAGTTTCGTTTTAACAAATATTATCTCCGTGGTGAAATTATTCAGTTACGTAACCTAATTTTTAACTGATGAACTATTAACCAACAAAGCCCGTATATTATTCTGAATGTGCGTTGCCTAGACAATTGATGTTCCTCAAGTGAGAAAATGTCAGATAATAGTTCTGTAAAAATATTAGTTTTATAGTATTATGTAACGTTATCAGCTAAATTATACGACTTTTAATTTTAGTGAAATTTTTTAGTATAGTCTAAGCCAAAACTAGAATCAATATTATTTGTACTCATACCTATACAAAATAGATGTGTATTATCAAACCTACTTATCTTTAAAAAAAAAAACTTAAGTAAGACAACAATTTAAATTAAACCATAAAAACTTGAAGTTTTTAACGTAACTTATCTTATTTACTAACTTTAAGTATAGGCACAAATCCAAATTCTTAAATTTCTTGAACAAGAGTGACAGTTTAATTAGTGGAAAATGGATAAATTTATACTCATTACGGGTCATGTAGGCATTAAATGATAATTATGTTTTTGAAGAAAAAGTGATATAATAACGATAATGTTTGTATTTCACACCTTAATTACTCTCCCAAGGAATCTACAATTTAATCGTGGAATTAGTAAATTTGTTGGGCAGTAAAATCGATTCTTGGTGACCTGCCAAATCGTAATGATTAATCCTGTTATTGCTTTCTCATTAGTTGCATGGATTGAAAAAAAAAACTATAGAATAATTTTTTTAATACTTTTTATTTAAATTAAGCTAAAAATTAATTTTACATGTCATGGTTTGAATATTAAACAGCATTTAATTAGCAAAACACTTTCGCTTGGAGCACTGTTGTTGGGGAGCGGCTGTAGCTGACAGTGAGCTAAGGCAGTGAGTGATGGTGTGTAGTGAGGGTTGGCTTGGAGACCTCCCTCGATGCGTAGGCAGGTTCCAGACAACAAAGGATGACCCTGAACCTTCGCGAAGGCGGGAGAATGGGGTGGGGGCATAGTGGTGAGGCGTTGGGCGGTGGGGGTGTCGAGGTGTGAGTGTGGGGGGGGGGTGTTGGGGCGGGTGGGGGTAGCATGAGTAAGCGGGAGGATCGTGAGTGAGCGGGAGGAGCAAGGGTTGGCTTGGAGACCTCCCACATAACTCGTGGTTTACATTTAACACTCTATTATATGTTGTAACCTTAGCAGAATATGTTAACGTAATAATGTTTCAGTCTGTTCTATTCTTAGTTTAAAACGAAACTAACTAAATGTAAGTAGCATCTTCTCTCTTCATAGTCCGCAAAGTAAAATAAACTAAACTATTGGACTTGAAAAAATACACTTTTCTTACAATTTTGTGTCATATGTATGCTATTTTCATAGTGTACGTCTATTACATCATATTCCTACCACTTTTTCAGTTGGGTTGGTCGTTCAAACAGTCTGGCAGGTAAAACGGTTAAAATATTTGAAATATGTGAAATACTGCTCTATGATTGGTCAAAATAAGCTAACATCCTATTGGTGGTAAATAAGTGTGCGCTATGTGGAGAACAAAGAATACAAGGGAGGAGCGGGGGGTCGCTTGGAGCGCAGGTGTTGGGGAGCAGCTGCGGTTGACAGTGAGTGATGGTGTAGGGAGGGTTGGCTTGGAGACCTCCCACGATGCGAAGGGTGGTTCCAGACAACAAAGGATGACCTTGAACCTGCCCGATGGTGGTAGGGGTTAGCGACGGGGGTGGGGGTGACGATGCGGGTGGCGTCGGGAGGAGAGGTGGGGTGGCGTCGGGGGTGGGGGTGGCGTCGGGGTGGGGGTGGGGGCGGGGGCGGCGTCGTGTGACGTCAGCCGCTCACTGCCGCTCAAGCCGCTCACTCCCGCCGGACCGGCAAAAACACCCTACTATTACCTCATTTTACAACTTTATACATGGGTATTATGCAATTGCCAATTACTGATTGTTATCAAATAACACTATCAGAAATTCTTTTCTGATCGATATTTTACATAAATCAGGATTTGTTTGAATTGAACTTTATTGATTGGAGTTCTTACTGTATTATAATTCGGATGCTGCGAAGGTAACGTTTGAAAAGGTTAATTTGACTCCAGAATACCAATCAGAGCGACGAGCGGCAGTTAGAGTAAGTGGACAACGAACCCCAGTCACGATTTGGCTTTTTGTATCGGGAAATAGTTAGCTTTGCGAGTTATCCCGAATGTGCAAGTCTTAATGCGTTTATTGATAAAATATGTATGGATAAATAAAATCATAGGTAAATAAATAAAACTAAAAAAGATTAACTCCTTCTGTTAATTCAGAAGTAACGTATAGAATGACTCAAGATTCGATTTTTACCTAAAGATGCATGTTTAACCACAATTCACAATGTCTTAGGATATCACCATTACCTTTTATTCGTACTAGTACACTTTTTCTGTGATAATTACGAAGCACGTCATGGCGTTTTTCATGTGAATTACGCTTATATGCGCCTACTAAATGATCCATTGTTCTTATTTAATGATAGATTTAGGATGTTGTCTTTACTTTTTGACCATATGAAAAGAGAATATGTAACAGATCACAAATATGATGTATTTATCAAACAGATTTTAATTTGGTCGAATATCAAGAAACAACTAGTAAACAATAGACAACAATCTACATAACTTGAACAGAAACATTAATCAACACTGTCTTTAGCTTACAATAAGAAGAATAATCGTTTACTGATCCTCCTATGTTTTATCTATTATAACATACTTGTAATTCAGGTCAAGCTATATATTTCCTTTCAACACAAGTTGTACAGTGATGTATAATGCACGTCTCTGGGAGTTACATATTCCAGCCACAATCGACATTTGGCATGTGTGAGGCCAGTAATCATCAAACACACATTTACTCAGCACTCTGTATATGCGGAATGTTAATAGTTTAATGGTAAATAACACGCACCTGAGCCGTCACTATCAATGTCCGCGACCACGTGAAATGTGATTTATGCATCGACACTTCGCATGGCTTGTCACAGTTCGTTATTAAATCAATATTTAGAGAGAATTAGCCATATCCTGATTAACGCAATAAAACAGTTTAAAGCGTTGTGTTACCATTATCAACATAAAAAAACGTTATCTTCAAACTTAACCATTTTGATTGGCTAGTTAAAATAATGACTTTTTGAATTGATAGTTTGATGTGGTTTTTTTTTTTTTTTTTTTAGGGAGAGGTGGGAAAATGCATTTATGCACACAGGTTGCTAGCCTGTAGTGTGGGACTCCAACGGGCTTAAGGCCCAGAGACTACCCACTAAAAACCTCCTCTACTCTTCGGACACTAGCCTGGGAACACTTGTCGCACTTCATCAGAACTAGGCCGAGTTTGCTTACGCCCGAGGGGCTTGCGCCGTGTCTAGCCGTTTATTTCTTATCAAATCTAGACTATGTTCCGATCTAGATCATTCTTTTTAGCTTGAAGGACGTTCCGGACAAAGTGCGACCAGCAGTCCCAGTTGTCCTCACCCTTCAGCAAGGTCTCACAGATCGATTCAATCGACAGCACCCCAAGATGTTGAATGGCCTCCTGGCGAAGCATATCCCATTGTGGACAGCGGAAAAAGGTGTGTTCCGCGTCGTCGGGAATGCATGGGCAGTAAATGCAGTCAGGTGAATTCGTTTTGGCCATCAAGTGCAGGTACGACTGAAAATAGCCGTGACCTGACAAGAACTGCGTGAGGTAATAGTCAACCTCACCGTGCCGCCGTTCTACCCACGGTTGGACCTGCCTGATGAGTCTGGCAGTCCAACGTCCTCGAGTCTCCCTTTCCTAGCTTTCTTGCCACACCTGAAAAGTGCGGGAGCGCTCTTCTGTTCTTGCAGCGTCCTTTCCGATGTAGCCTTGTCTCTGGTAGATTGCCTTCCTCTCCGCTGCCAAGAGTTTGACTGGGATAACTCCAGCGATCACCAAAACGGCCGGTTCGGACACCGTACGGTACGCGGAAGCGACCCTGAAAGCCGCCTGACGCTGCACTCGTGCGAGCCTCAACCTATACGCCTCCTTGTTAAGCGCGTCTGCCCACACCTCAGAGCCGTAGAGAAGCACGGACTGGACTGCAGACATCAGTAGTGTTCTACGGCTGGACCGGGGACCACCGACATTGGCCATAAGCCTACTAAGAGCAGCGACACTCCTAGCAGCCTTGTCCGCCGTACGGAAGATCTGGTCCCTCCAGCTCAACTTGTTGTCCACCATGACACCAAGTTACTTGGCGGTTCGCGTGGTTTGGACAACTACGTTCCCAACTCGTAGCGGAACGATGGTTTCAATCCGTTTTTTCGTAAGGATGACGATCTCTGTCTTGCTCAGAGTTTGATGTGGTTAACCAAATGCTGTAAAACGATTAATGTTTACAACTTATTGCGTTGACTTGTTTAGGGTACGTACCCCTCTGACCCTGATAAAACTTTACAGTAGGTGTTTCGAAACATGTGTACAGTCTTGAAATCATTGTGCTAACAACGTAATGCTGTTACATAATTAGTAATGCTGTAGTATTTATCTGATTAAAAGTAAAAATATATACACAAATTAAGTTCAATCATCTATCTATATATTAATAGGCAAGCATGTTTCTTTAAAACCTTTTTTCTCAGCTTGTGTGCATCGTGGGGTAAATCTACGCATACCGTTAGAAAGCTATTATCCTGTAGGTGTGCAGAATCCCTTTATAAATTTAAATAGGCTCAAAGATAAGCGCAAAAAATGAGTTTAAAAATTTGAAAAAATTAACATGGATCTTATGCGTTGCCATGCTGGTGACGAAATAACAACGAAATATAAACAGAAAATCAAAACAAATGGAAGAAACTCCAATCACATGTTTTATTTACAGTGTGGGGTGAAAATAGAGAAGTGAGTACATTACATATTTTTGGTCGAGTTTCGAACACTGGACGACCTCTCGTATTTATAATTGTTTGAGCTGTTTAAAAATAGTACTTTTAAATTACGAGGAAATCTATTTACTCAATGAAATTTCTGGGGGTAAATCCGTCACATGTTTGGCGTATTTTATTGAGATGAAACATTTTAATATTGTAGTTTTTTGTGATATAAACAACGCTTACATCACATGCATCCAACTATTAGCTATTAGACATAGGCCTAAATGTATTCAACGGAGCAACGTTGTTACTCCGCTAAACTGCCAGTTAGAATTATGATATTTTATTCTCTATATCTCCCGGCATTATCTAAATGAAAGTGACGTGCGTGATGACTATCTACTAACTGAGATCTAGCGTGACCAGGCCCACGGGTTCGAGCCTGTTCACGCCCCCGCCTTTTCAATTATTGCTCAACAATAAATGACGTTATATGACTTGTTTATTCTTATTTTCACCGTCCCTGGCATTGATTCAAATCATGGATTGGTGGTCCAACCGACAATTGTTTGGACTGTAATTGTTTATTTAGCAGAAACGAACTGGATTTTATTATATTGTGATGGATAGGTTTGACTTATTCAACATAATTCCATAATTGCTTGAAACTACGTTGTAATTTCCGTTTTACGCTATCGTCTTCGATGAAACTTACTCAGTATACTTTGTTCCATAGACTATCAACGTTTTTTTGTAAGCTAGAAGGTCAGGCTTAGTTTACTCATATCTGTCTATGTAAAATACATAGGCAAATGGGGCTCACTCGGATCAGTTTTTGTAAGATATATAAACTGGATAAATAGATTAGGGTCAGTTAATGTAAGCTACGGGCTGTGTTGACAGATTTTTAAAAATGTATATATAGGCTCAGTTGTCTCAGTTATATAAGTTACATAGACAGCCTCAGTTGACCAGGATCGGTTTATGTATGTTACATAACAAAAGCTAAGTTGACAGGGATCGGTTTATTTAAGGTTTATGTAAAGGCTTAGTTGACGGGGATCGGTTTATTTAAGTTACATATAAAGGCTCAGTTGACGGGGATCGGTTTATTTAAGTTACATATAAAGGCTCAGTTGACGAGGATCGGTTTATTTAAGTTACATATAAAGGCTCAGTTGACGGGGATCGGTTTATTTAAGTTACATATAAAGGCTCAGTTGACGGGGATCGGTTTATTTAAGTTACATATAAAGGCTCAGTTGACGGGGATCGGTTTATGTAAGTTACATAGACAGGCTGAACGATACAAGATGAGATTGTGAACTCACACGTGTCACAAGAAAGATCATTTCTCATGTTTGCCCCGGGGCCTCAAGAGTTATTGAAGGTTCCTTTCGATGGTTGATTTCCTTTCAAGACGAATTTAGTCAGCAAATATCCTATATTACTTCGTATCTTCTTTACTTGCAAGGCAAATTCAAAGAAAACTAGTATATTTAAATATATTATTGAAGGAACTTTTGTAAAATTTGAAATGTCGTTTTTATGTTCGATGGAACACAGTTTATTTCAATATTAATATTTTAAAATTATTCACATTTAATTTCTTAACAAGTTTCTACTTGTAATGAATGACTAGTTTTATTCAGAGGTCCTACTCTGTTATTGTAAATAGTAAAAGTATTTGGGAAAGTTCTACTAACGTTATTGATAAGTGTTTATATTAGGTAAAACAAAATATAGATTTAAATCTCGTTAAGCACGAAAAAATACATACTAAGCTTTAAAAATAGTTTGTTTCAAAATAATGTAAAATTGAGTGATAATATTATTTTAAAATAAAATATATTCAATAAATCGTGTTACAAATCAAATCACAAAGGAAAAATGATGGCGCATAGAGATTATCATGTAACTAACTGAACACGATTTCAAAGTAAGTCTAATTGCATGTTAAAATACATTATACAAATCTTATTCTGTATTAATTTATTTCTTTTATATTATGAGTGTTAGGTGTTAGGCAAATCGCTGATGGCTAAGATAATCTGAAGAATTTTAAACACTAACGTATTTTCTGTCTCAAATTATATTCTCTAGCATCGACTGCGCAACCTTAAATGCATGTTCATAATTGGTAAGTAATGTGACGAAATGTGTACGCAAGTTGTCAGAGGTGGGTTAATGCTTCTAGTGATTTGTTTACCAAAGAAAGTAAAAATGTGATATTTACCTCTAAATCAAAAAGTAATGTAAATAACATTTAATATGAAAGTAAAATAACAGTTTGTAGAATTAGTTATAAAAAAAAAACAACCCTGTGATAAAAGTTTACAAGTCTACTTATCCTACATGCAAAAAGTGGTGACAGTCGCAAAACGGGGCCATGCAAGAAGATAATTTATTTTACCAGCCCAAGGGAAAGAAAGATTTATGGTTTATAAAGGTCTCTGGACAATCAAATGAATCGGAACGATATTTTGTTGTGGTGCGGTTTGTACACATTCAGCGATATTGTGACGGAAAAACTGTTTTCAAAGTAATCATCTGTAATACTATGGGGGAACTTTATTCTACTTGTTAACACCAATCACCCTCACTGAAGTACTTTGTCACAAAAAAAGTTACGGAATTACTTGTTTATGTAAACCATTTCTCAAGCTTATATTTTCCTCTGGTTAAATGTTTAGTTATTTTTACAAAGAAGACCTGAAGATTTTGGAATGATATACCCGTGATAAAAAAAACCGCTGATCTGAACCCATGGGAAAAAACGACACATGGAACCTTAACCATCCAAACTCATCTTAAGTAGGCCCTAACATTTTATATTGAAAAGCGCCTTGATTTGCCCCCCTCTAAAAAGTATATAATTATGAATTCAATTAGTGAAATATAAAGTATATTGAAGCAAATGTGCATGCAATATAGTAGTTTACGAAAGGTTAATTACGCGAGTTGCGTACACTACTTAACCTACGACCGTTCCTACTAAAATTCACTACTCATAACATCCAAGACAGGTTATTTTGTAGTTTATAACCTCTCATAGCAACTTATTGTGATGCAATGACTTATTGTCCCAACCACTCACTCATTGTCCAATGAGTTAAATTGGTCTTAACATCTAATAAGTTGACGTTAGAAGTATTACAATTTTACTTCTTTTCTCTCAATCCTTCAACCTCATTGGTAATTGGTATGTTGTTACTAATGTTGTATACTATAACAACAATGCTATTAAGTAAGTAAAAAATGCTGTTAAGTGAACGTTTAGATTCTAAGAACTGAACTGAACCTGCTAGTTAAAAAAACTGTCATAGACTAAATTCTTTTGGACGATAATCCTTACAAATAATTAAAACCCCTTTTCAAATCTTTTTTATCTTAATTTTATTTCTTATTTACAGATTTAGACGAAACCCAATACATACTTTCCATCCTGTCCAATTGACAGTTAAACCCTACTTACTTGACTCATAGTCTTCTACATCCCGTACACTAGGAATACTCATGCTATGCATGAAATCCAACCCCACTATGTTAAACGCAACAGTCGGAGATTTGGATTTGATTCTAAAATATCATACGTTTTAAATATAATGCGTGTGGGATGTTACCAATTACAAAATATGAATAAACAAAACAGAGTATAAGCTCTTGAAGGGCAAATGTAAATCACTCGTAACGTAAATGTTAAATAATTCGTTGATTCAGTTGAGGATTACTGTAAATTTGTCACATGATTACGCCTTTGATGTAGAGTAGAGCAGCAGATTGTGTTTGATTATGTGTTAAGCTGCCGCACAGATTAACTGCTATCATTTGTGAATACCTACACTCGTTCCTACTAAACTATGTAGTTATTACATGGCAGCATTCATATTCATCACCAAGAATAGGAAATAATAATACATTATGATTTGTCAACCCACAGAGGTGTCTATTATAAATCATATATCACCATGTAAATGTACCAAATAGTACAGTAAATAGTAGATAGGCTAAACTCCTGTAACCAATAACTTAACAGCTTCTGCTTCTGCACTTCTATTTGTTCGGCCTGTTCCCTGTTCATTAAAAATCTTATTATTTTCTATAGACACAATGCATGATGATATTTTCAATTGGTACTGTATATCCTATACTATAATATGAGTTAAGTTTGTGTGCACAGTGATTTCAATATTTTTATATTTTCATATTTTTAATTTGTTATCTGATGTGTATGTATGGTTGGTTTGGAGTAGGCCCTATATGTTCGCTTATGAGGATTTTTGCGTTGTCGTGTTATTTGATCGTATCGTCTGTATATGTTCTTTGTATCTGACTTCGAAGGCTCGACCTGTTTGACCTTTATAGTAC